AAAAAAAAAAAGGAAAAAAAAAAAAAAGGAAAAAAATAAAAAAAGTCCAAAAGAACTAAACGAAAAACTAACAAAACCATATGGAAGGATAAATTAGAAAACATTCAGATTGAGAAGGAAAAAGTATGGGCACAGCGAGCAAAGATAAAATGGCTGGACGTTGGGGACAGAATGACGAAGGAAAATTTCAGGCGTCTCTCCACACGAAAAGGGTCATCGCTGATAGTAGAATTGGACCATCCCTTTGACTCCTTTGAGCCCAGGGCCAGAGACACTAAAACCATATTGGAATACGCTAGGCTGTATTTCAATAACATCCTGACCTCTTCCAGACCGGTATGCCCGGATCCGGGGGATGTTGGGTTGCAGGACACGTTATGGCAATCGTTTGAGGCCCGTTTACCCAGTCAGGGGAAACTAGATTTAGACCGACCCATAACCATCGAAGAATTGAACTGCACCCTGAAATCCATGCAAAAGGGGAAATGCCCGGGCAGTGACGGGCTACCGGTGGAATATTACGCCTGCTACTGGGAGATATTGGGGCCTGTGCTAGTTGACATATTCAACGGGGTACTGGGTGGTCAAGATCTGGGGGAGGACATGCGGACGGGTATCATTTCACTGCTGTACAAAAAAGGAGACAAGAGAAATATAAGGAACTGGCGACCTATCTCTCTCCTAAACACGTCCTACAAATTTCTGGCTAAGACCCTGGCCAATAGGCTCGAGCGGTACTTGCCAGGATTAGTAGGGGAGGAGCAAGCAGGGTTTGTCCAAGGAAGGAATATACTGAATAACATCATGCTCATGATTGAAGCCCTTGAGACCATGAAAGAGGACCAGCCGGAAATGGTTGCTTTGCTACTAGATCTGGAAAAGGCCTATGACAGGGTCAATTGGCAATTTGTCCTACACACACTAAAATTAGCAAGATTTGGGGAACCATTCTGCGTATGGGTCAGAGCCCTTTACACTAAAGGGGTAGGTATGGTCCTAGTCAATGGCGAAATCTCAAGTCCTTTCACGCTCACACGATCACTTAGACAAGGTTGCCCTCTCGCCCCCATGCTGTTCGTCATACAGATGGAGGTCTTGTTGTCAATGATTAGAAAACACCCAGACATTCGCGGCCTTCGCCTGCCCAATGGGCAGGAGTGCAAGGTGTCGGCTCTATTCGCTCTATCTACCAACACCAAAGAGTCATTAGGCGCGCTTAAATGCTGTCTTGATCTCTATTCTAAATTCTCAGAAGCCCTGATTAACTGGCCTAAGTCTACTGCGATTGCCTCTGATGGGACTAAATTGTCTGTGGATTGGGGTTTGAAATGCTTACCGGTTGGTGAGGTTGAGCGTTTTTTGGGGGTGCAGGTGAGCATACTCGACAGCAAGAAGGCGGCCAGCAGTTTGGTAGAACAAGCAGTTATCTCCAAGATTGGCAAAGTTGCTACGATTAAAGGGACATCCATTTTTGGACGAGCTTTGTTCCTGAATACCGCTGTCTTCTCAGAGATTTGGTTCCCAGGGTCATTAAGGAGCCTGGAAGCTAAGTCCTACGGAAGGATCAGGTCAGTATCCACGAGGTACCTTTGGAAGGGAACACAGGATGAGGAGGTAGGGTACATTGCAAAACTGTCTTGGAAAAAGGTAGTGGGGGGAAAGACTGATGGTGGTTTGGGCATTAAGGATCCGGAATTGCAGGTTAATGCGTTATTAGCCAGATGGGTCGTCAGGCTACTTACCACAGCATCCAACCACCCGTGGGTGGAACTTGCTGTGGCAACTCTTATGAGAGAATGGGGGTTAAGTAGAAGGGTGGATGTATGGGTGGCTATCCTAACGCCCTCTATGGTGAAAGGAAATATCAATTCACCGGTTTGGAAAGACATTCTTCGGACATGGTCCCACCTCATGCCAGTACAACTCAAGGAACCACAGACCAGGGAGGAGATCCTGGCTCAACATATCTTCGATAATGTGCATATCTGCAATGATTCTGGTGCCCCGTGGTCTGCAGGGGACGCCACGGGACAGTTTGGCAAAAGCTGGATCCAAAGGGGAGTTTCGAGAATAGCAGACCTATGGAACCCAGATCTCTCATAGTGGAGAGCTGCAGCTGAACTGAAAACAAAGCTACACCACCTGGGAGCGGTAGAAGAGAGGCTGGAACAAATCTTAACCAGTATTCCACACGCTTGGAAGGTGACCCTACTGGACCCCCAACCAGCGTATAAAGGACACTGGGTGGTCCAGGGGGGTTCAACCGTTCCCAAGGAGGTGTGGAGAGTCCAGGCGATTCTGATCCAAGATCAGGCTGCGGTCACATCCTTCTCCATTAAGCCAGAAGAACAAGGTGTGGGCTAAAGGCTAAAGGAAATTGAGGAGCAGGTGGTCTCCCTGCAGCAGGTCGTATCAATAGTAGTCTGCTCCAAGAAGAATACCAGGGACGAAGTTCAGCACCATTGCCCTCTCGGCGTGGGACCTGCGAATAGGCTCAAGGCTATTCCATCCCATTGGGGCTGGAAACTGTTGGAGCCTACAAGAGTTGTCAGCCTAATTGAGTATACCCCCACAATCGGGTATCAGGCCCAAAGCAAGTCCTGGTCCCTCCCGCTAGGAGTCGGAAATCGCTGGCAGATGGAGAATAACGACAGGTCGCAGTAGAAAGGTAATGTCTCCTCCACAGCATTGAGGGGACTGTGGCGTAACCTCAGACGTATACCATCTGCAAAGATGAGTAATCTGGTGTGGCTCCAGTCCCATCGGATAGTTCCCACGGCAAACTGGCTTGCGTCGAACAGAATGCCAATTGACACGCAGTGCTGCAAGTGTAAAAAAGACAAGGAAACAGTTACACATCTTTGGTGGGGCTGCATCGAGTCCAAGAGAATTTGGGTCTGGTGGGGCAGACTCTGGGGAGAAAAGGTGGAGGATCAGGTGCACTGGGAGGAGAGTTTCGTGGTGGAAGGCATACTGCACAACGCCAAAGAAGTCGGCCCAGGATGGGCTTATGTGGCCATGGCCTGCAGAGCTGCTATTATGCAGGTCATATGGAAACTCAGGAATGACAGACTTTTTAGGGCTAAATTCAACTCTGACATCAGTATCAAGAACCTGGTGGTGGAGGGGGTTCGCTCCCTGGTAAGGTCGGATTGGAGACGTGCTAGGAGAGCCCTCAACGGAAGAACCGCCAGGGATCACTTCTTTCGAACTTGGGGGCAGAGAGTTAGATTTATGAAGTTAAGGCCCAAGGGCATAATGTTGGAACCATGGTTGATGGGGCCCTGACCTCCATGAGCTGTCCTGGAAGGAGCGCACAGGCTACTCCACTGGACTACGCTTGGACTAAGGTATCCACCATTATGCCCTGATCTGATCAGCCTACAAATCTTATGATGTCTCTTAATGGATAACATGGGTCTGGGGGTAGTTGAACTGCCCAGGCAATGGACTGTTGTTGAGATCTCCGCTCATAGGGGCTGTTTTTTTTCTGTGGTTCAAGAGCGTTTTCATCTCATCTCCTGAATTAGTAGATATAAGGGAGTGGCACAACTAGTTTTTTAAGGCTAGTCGAACATTCTATTCAGGCGCCCTAGGTGAAGAGGCCTAATGACTGGTTGTGTTGGAGGTTTGTTCCAGTTTCATGACGCTGGACCCGGTTTCCAGCAGGTGCAGCTCCCCACCAATAGAATGGAGCAAATGTGAATAAAAAAAAAAAATAAAAAAAAAAAAAAAACTAACAAAACTCTAGCCACATACCCACAGGGTCGCCTACGAATTTCAGAGTTAACTCTTAAGAAATCTCCATTAACAGAGGTTACAATCTGAAAAATATCCTTAAAAAGATTTAAAAGATTAAAGGCTGCAAATGCTACAACTATTGTTGGAAAGGTCCAAACCGAATGTCTCCAGTACAGGCATCCACACAGAGATTATAATCTGAAAAATATCCTTTTTTTTTTTTTTTTTTTTTTTTTTTTTTTTAACTTCGTATACGTGAAACCTACTTAACGAGGTGATAAGAGCATCCCTGTTAATTAGGCCCCAGCGTCGAGGGCTCCATCTATTGGTTGGTTCCAGTGTCCCTCTACAATTGTGAAAAATGTATTTGCTGGAAATCGGGTCCAGCGTCCTTATGCAATGATGTGAATATATGTGTCCGAACACGGGTCCAGCATCCCTATCCATCTAACCAATCTGAGGCATCAATCCAATCAGTCGAAACCCTAACCATGATATGATGTGTACTACCAATGCTATGATTTATATCTGCTGGAACTCGGGTCCAACGTCCCCATATCGTGTTGTGTAACTACGTAGACAATGGAATCTCTGCAGCAATCTGAAGCATCAATCCAATCCAATCAGTCGAAACCCTAACCATGATATGATGTGTACTACCAATGCTATGATTTATATCTGCTGGAACTCGGGTCCAACGTCCCCATATCGTGTTGTGTAACTACGTAGACAATGGAATCTCTGCAGCAATCTGAAGCATCAATCCAATCCAATCAGTCGAAACCCTAACCATGATGTGATGTGTACTACCAAAGATGTGACTTATATCTGTTAGAAATCGGGCCCAGCGTCCCCATATCGTGTGTCTATCTATGTCTTTAATCTGTACCTATCAAACCCCTAAACTGCCCACCACCAATCCCTCGAGGCGATCACCACCTCAGTGTTGATTGGTTTTGCGGGCCGGGCAATACCAATCCTCACTAACTATCCTACTCCTATCCTCTGGCAGGCAACGAGAGGCAACTCCATGACGAGGCAAAAAAATATAGCAAGGCGGAAGTCAGAAAACCAGTTTCCCATGTCCACCCCCATTCCATCCGCGTCTGCCTGCGGTATCTCACCCATCATTCTACTTCCATAGACGTCTCCCCCTCCATCGTTATTGTTGTTGTTGTTGTCTCAACTTTTGTTTGGTAGGCGCGGTGTTTAATTGGGCGGAGCCAGCACCCGAGGCTGAAGGCGGTGAGGTCCAGGATGACGAGGTGGAGTTGTTGATCGTGCAGGCTTGGCGGACGAGTACGGAGGGAGAATTGCTGGGAATACTGTTCGGCAAGGTGGAGGAAGGTCACCTGGACGCAATCACGGACGAGTTGTTGGTGTTCTTGGCGGAGCTAGAGGACAATTTGCCCCTCGATATCCTGTCAAGAAGTGACGAGAAGTCGGGGACTGACGTGCTCCCTCGCACGCTTGCACTACATTTGTTGTGGTCCATGTGTACGGAGATGGACGGAGATAACTGCTTTTATCCATCCCCGAGCCTCTATCTCGAGATTGACGTCACCAATCTCACATGGCGAGGGAACGCAATAGAAGCCGGTTACGAAGACGAAGAGGAAGAAGAGGGAGAGGAGTCAGAGGAAGAGGAAGCGGGCACGGATCAGGACGATCCCGATTACAGTGGGTCAGAGGAGGAAGAAGGAAGTGGATCGGAGGAACCGAGCAGCCATCCCCCACGAAGCAAGGAAGAGGAGGAAGTTGAAGCTCAACGAAGGCGGGAGAAAGCGGAGGGCAAACGACTGATCGAGGAATCTGAAAGGCTGCCACCACAGTTACTGCTGGGCGATTCATCGCTGAATCCGGAGCCGCCGCGCGAAGAATCTGACGGAGCCGCAATGGAGGGGTCAGAAAGCAGGCGCCGCCGAAGAAGCGAGTCACCGACTTCGTCATCCCAAACCACTCTTCGCCTTCGTAGAACTACGGGCGATCGGGCTTCGTCCCCGGTCGTTATCCGACCGTCCCCTTGACTTCCTAACCCCTCACCAACTCATGGGTCGACCCCCGTTCCTTGATGGATGGTGCCTCTTCCCACCCACTCTCTTCCACCAGTTTTACGCCACCCGCCTTATCGTCACCGTCGTCCCGCATGCTACCACCCGTTCCTTCGTAGCCTCCTTCCCTCTCCATGTCCTTCTCTTCAGCGCGGCCTGGCGGGAGTATAATAATATAGAGGCTTATTGCATCATTTCGGGTACAATCCCCGCCTGTAAGAATTATGAGAGCTTCCGCGGTGCAATCCCATGCACCCTATCCACTCTCTACCCCGACTGTCTTGCCTCTCTCCCTCATCAACGTCCCCACCCCCGATTCCCCCTCATCCACCGCACCGTCCACTACACCTAGATCCCTACCCGTGACAGGGAGATCCGTCGCTTCATACCTCCCCTTCCCCAAGTCCATCCACCACCTCCTCCACCCGTTATTAGATTACCATTCCCGACCAACGTTTTGGATTGAGCGCACGCATGCCACGTTGGATGACTTCCACACTCGGATCCTACGGTAAGTGGCACGTGTTAGCTCCGCGTCGATTATCGGACAACCAATCGGCGCCTGATGAGAGAGCAAGCAGGAGCTTGCTCAAGATTGGAACCCCCTGGGCGTCACATATGTGACAAACTATTTTATGTAATCACGCGACTTTCTGCGTGAAGTTGCTTGGGGAGTACGGCTGGTAGGATGGGTGAACTGTGGGAAGAGGGGTCGGGTGGCCAAATTGCATGGATGTCCTCGTTTCTTTTTGTTTTCTGCTGGAAGTTGTTGGATCGGTGTCGAGAAAATCTCGTGCCAACGGTTGGGTAGCCGCCTTGGCGAGCGTGAGAAATAACTGTACCATAGCTTCTTTCTTGTTCTGCTGTGAGCACTGGGAATTTTGGCGCGATCATCGAGGGGGAATATTGGTTTTTAATTTTCAACTGATGACGAGCCCCCACAGGCTCGCGAAATTCTTTTTCGCTTTTACTTTTCCGGAATTTCCTTTTTGCAATTAGGACTTAAGTTAGGAATTTAGGTATTCAAATTTTGGTGCGTCGCGCATACGCGCATCTTGCTGCGCTGGGAACTGGGCTCTGACTAGATCACGCCCTTAATCTTGTGCAGCTGTCATTTTTGGCGGGCGCGATTGTAACTGTATCTTTCTTCTCTCTTGATTTCCTCGTATTTGCTCACCTTCTTCTTCCTCATCTTACATATTATGTTCTAATTGGCCGGAGCGCCTGCATGACCGGATCGATTTGTGGAGCGTGGTTACGACCCCCACACCGCGGCCTCGCCATGCAGACGTAGGCACTTCCTCTTTTCTCCTTTTGTCCACCTGGGCTTAATCCCGTACCTTTCTCGCAGGTACGCATGCTATAAATTTTGCAAGTGTGATTAGTCTGCTCTCTAAGAATTTCGAGGTTAGTGCGATCAGTGAGGGTCGGTTAACGAGCGAGCTTGGAAGGTAAGTGAGTGCGAGAGTTGGGCGATCCGACGAGCTGGTGTCGGGTATATGGGGTTGACGTGCGGGGCCACGACAGACTGTGGCGCACGGGCGAACCTGGCTTGCATGCTCGAACCAAGCGGGGTGACAACTCTGCGTTGATACGCGACGATGGACTGCCGGTATCGGGGGTGTAGAGCAGGGAGAAAGAGAGAGAGAGTAGTTGTGGGTGTGGGATGAGGTTCTTCGTTTGTTCATCTGTATAATTTTGAATATGATATGGCCGATTTTATCGTGGCCTTTTTGAACTTATCGTTTAGGGTTTTCTTTATCGTTTTTACTTCGTATATATGCATAGAATGAATGCGAATTCCCTTTTATTAGTGATTTTTTCAGATTTCCAATCTTGTTTTGTGATGCCTGTTTTGCCTTTGTCTACTATTCACTTGTTTGAGCTATACGCCCATATCTGATTGAAAATGCTTGTCATGGATGTTTTGGTTTAGTCGTTAACTTTCGATCACCGAGAAGATGATTGTCCTTTCCCCTCTTTCCTCCTTTATGTCACATGTATGGCACGAACTGACCATATCTCACCCAACGTAGCATGAGTAGGATACTTGCATGTATGACAAACGCGACCGGTATATTTAACCAGCCCGCTGTTTCTCACGTGCGCGCTCGCGTATGACCGCGATCTCAAGAAAGTCGAGTGGCTGCATACGCGCTCGTTTGTGCGAGTCAGCCTTAACCTCGTATAAGGATGCGGGGGACCGAGCTAGCTAACGGATATGGCTGTGGGATTTGCCCCTCGGATGTCCGATCGTGAGAGCCTGAGGGACCCGGAATATCACGAATACTGGAAAAACGAGCAACTTAGGCGGCGGGGGAGCTTAGGAAATCCGGAATTCCCCTGTCTGACAGAGAACGGCCGATTGTGCGCAACGGACTTTCATTGTGCCGTCATTAACGATCCCAAGGGCCCCGACTACGTGGATACTTATAACACGGAATATTTCATATCCCCCAGCTTCGTCGTTATTACCACCAACTTCCCTCCCTTTCGCCTCCTCCTTCCATATCACCAAACTCACAATGGTGTCGTGGAATTCCATAGCCCGCTACTGACCCCGCAAACCGTGCAGACAGTGCCGGCGACACCGGGCATATCGACCCTCGAAAATCGCTCGGCGAGCCCGAACCGAAGCCGAGCGGTACCGACAACCAGCCGAGCCGGGCGACCAACCACGAAAGCGAAACCAGAGGAGATGGTGATTTCCATCTTCGGGTTTGGAAGTTGATGAAAATTGAGTCCCTCGGCAGGGGCAGTGTTGCTGGGATTTTGTTTGAGAATGCAAGAGTGTTTAGATCTGTCGATGCTGTGATAGTGGAAGAGTAGCCCGGGATCTTTAGTCTGGGATGCACTGCACATGCCATCTGCCTTATGTTGCATATCCGCGGCTTTCCTTTTATACATAAACCACAAGAGGTGGCCTACCTTCTTTCTTATAAATACGCCCTGCACATACCTTCTTGCGCTTTTACCCCCGAAACTTGCCACAAGAGATCTCAGTTTTGACCTGGGACTCCACCCCCACTTTCCTAAAATCCTTGGCACACCCCTTTGTCGCAATTCCAGGGCCCCATCCTACTCCGATCAGGAAGTCGCGCCTGGAGTGAGGTTGGAAGTCACAAAGTGGTGTGGAAAAAGGCCCATATTCAGGGGTGCGCGCGCGAGAGAAATTTACGCCCGCATCTGACAGCCCACGACCACGCGAGAGAAATTTGCGCCCACATCTGACTGTCCATGGCCACGCGGGAGAAATACGCGCCCGCATCTGATTGTCCACGACCACGCGGGAGAAATTTTTGCCCACATTCGAAATCGCCCGCCAACTGGTAACGAAACTTCCAGCCTCGGTAGGTGGGCTCTACAAGGCTGTGTCGAGTGCTCTCTGCACAGCTCCCGGTACATGGTCTCCTCACATCCCGGTTCCTCGTGACCTGGGCCCAACGCAACCACACTTTGAGTGATCTTTATGTCTGGTCCGAAGTACAACTGTGGTGCGCCTGCCAACGAAAGTTTTTTTTGCCTATTTGAACTGGGACAACTAAAAGGGCCTTTACCCGTTCAGACCCTGAATGACGAACGCATCATAATGGGGCCCACTAGGCCAGAACCTAATTCGAGGAAGGCAGATCAAAAGACATGTCCCCTAAGTCAAAAGTCACATCCTAACTGAAAAGAAAAGTCGTGTCAAAGGCCACCGTCGTGCCCCAGTGCGAACAGTCACAACATTTGGTTTTAGAAGTGAACAGGGGTCACGTCTGTTTGCCCAAAGGATGCAGGGTCAAGTCTGTTCGTGCAGAGGTCATGTCTGTTCGCCAAGAAGTCAAAGAGATAAGGTCCCAGTCCACGTCCAAGTCCAAGAGGGAGCAGACTGGAAGTCCGAAATTCAGGCCTGAAGGCCGCAGCAACAGCAGACCCTGAGGGAAATATACTGGGACACACTCCACAGAGGCCTGGGACTGGGGAAAGACCCAAGGAGGCCAACATTATAAAAGATCAAGCCAACCTCCCTTACGACAGAACTCCACTGGCTTAGCTGTGTGGAAGTGCTGAGGCACTTGTGCGCTTGGAAGCAGGGAGAGAGCGCTGGCTGGAAGCTGCGCAGAAGGTGGAAGAAGAGGCTAGGCGCTGGCAGGCAGAAGCAACCATAGCTGCACCAACACTATTAGTAGAAGTAGAGGGGTTAGTAGTAGACATTAGTGAGTAACATTCAGAGTAGATCCTCACCAGTAGGAAGTGTGCATGCAGAGTGAGACAAGAGGACCAAGACAGAGATCTTGAGAGAGAGAAGACAAGTTGAGGAGTTGGATATGGTGGACACTTACCTGTTGGCACCGTACCTGTGATCTGAGGGCAGACGCTGGCTGAGCCAGTCCCTATGTTGATGAGTGATCGAGGGAGACTTGTAATTTGTTGGCACCGAACTCTCGAACTCGAGATACTCTTTGTAAAATGTGATTGTGATAACAAGGGTTGCGCTACCTTGGTTCTCATCTCATCTCGATTTGGCTTTGTGTGAAGCTTCTCTATCTATGTGAATGACATCTAAGCATGCAATGCCAAAGTGTGGCCCCGAAAAAGTTTCCTTTTTTTTTTTTTTTTTTTTGTTCTTTCCATGAGAGTACCAGAAAGAAAATGGAGAGTTTTACTTTTCTCGACCTTTTTTTTTTTTTTTTTTTTTTTCTTCTTTACTTTTTTTTTTTTTTTTTTTTTCGTTTATTAACATATAAGCCTTTCAAAGGCTTTCCTTACAAGAAGTCACCACAGCCCCGAGCTGAGCGACGCTCTCCAGCCAGGCAAAGCTCATGCCACTACTGTGTCAAGGGCAATATCTCCTACCAATTGTAAGGATTATTCTAACTTCGCCAACAACATTTTTTTTTTTTTTTTTTTTTTTTTTGGAGAAACATAGCAATTTTCATTCCAGTGAGACAACCGGGGCCCGGGAACACACCCCTACATATCAACCCGGTACGAATCAGCTGAGGCCAATACTCAGCTTAAGCTCCTGGAA